TAACGGGTATGCGAAGAATTTAACACAAAAATTTTAACAGGGATCGACTTTAGCACAAGTACAACATATTTTTTACTTTGTCGAATTATAGACACGCGGCCCTCGAATCCATTTCATGGGAAATGTGACGTATCACTTATCTCGTTCTTTAACACTCAAAGTGCGAATTAATTTAATAACGTCGTGACTTGTCCGCTTCTGACCGTCATAGATCTTCGCTGCGTTTCTGCTGATTGCAGTGGAAAGTAGAAGCAGGATGAATCGTGAGAGAGAGAGAGAGAGAGAGAGAGAGTGAAAAGGGCACAAGACGCACGGCGGTTCGATTACACGACGCGAGAGAAGCCGGCGGCCCTCCAGAAAACCAAGCCTGGCATAATGTTCCGCTTCTCTCTCTCTCTCTCTCTGTCCGACCAGAGTATCGTGTGTGTCTCCCGCGGTATTCGTTGTCTCCTCCTTATTTGACCCGCGGACCCGCCGGGTTAGATTCCTACGCGGTGCCCTCGCGTACACAATGCGAGTTATTGCGGCATCCGCGTGTTCGGACGAGCAGCGGCCGGCCGCCCGCCGCTGGCGCCAGCGACGGCCGACTTGGTCCTCCCGAGGCTGCATAAATCCTCTTGCCGTGAGTCGCGACGACTCCGCCGGCTCCCAACTGAAGTCATGGCTCTTTCGCGTCCACCTTCGCGATATTCGACGTTTGATCGTTAACCCTTTCGGGAGCGCGCGGTTCCCTCTTGGACGCCGGAGGAACGATTCAGCTTTCCGCAAAATCACCTCGTCTCGTTAACTCGACTCGCGGTCTCCGAGCGCGAAGAAGCTCCGAACTCGCATCTGTGCGCTTCCCGTGAGAAAAAGCCACGGTGATAGCCGCGTGTATCGCTCCGCGATGGACGAATACTCGATTTAAGGCCGTTCGCTACAGCTCCGCGGTTAAAGCAGCTTGACGATCCATTAACTGTAACCGATGAATGTCCGCTAATTAAGGCTATTTATACCGATAAAATGGGGAGGTGGACGACGAATCGTCCACCCGCGCTACGCCGCAACCGCCCTATTCCTCACCTCACCTCGCAGCCGCGCGCAACTGCCTAAGGGCGGAAACTAGAAAGTTGCCATATCGGAGCGGGGAGGGTCCGACAAAAAAAGCAGAAGATTATCTCCCGGTTTTCACGCGCTGCAAAGCGGCGAGGGAGAGACGCGTCGTGGTGGCGCGCGTGAGAGAAAGAGAGAGATAGAGAGAGAGAGTGAGTGAGTGAGTGAGTCTACGGTCGCGCGCTTCTACGCTCGCGATTATCTTATAAAAATTCACAGGTCGCAAGGCACCAGTGCGTGTTACTATGGAAACTAGAGCTCGCGCGAACTCTCGCTCGTGCCGACATCGTTCTCCGAGCAATAGAAAAGGAGCAACGGGAGCCTCCGCACTTACTAAATCCCCTATGAAAAAAAAAGAGAGAGAGAGAGAGAGCTGATATCTTACGCCGCTCGGATATCTGCGAGAAATGCCTTCAGCTTTCCGTGGCTTACGTCAAATGGAATCGCTAGATTCTCTCGCGCTCTTCATATCGATATGCACTTGGCGTGCCTCGTAACGCGTTCGCGAGAGCTGCGCATCGTCGTTGAATTTGTAGTTGTATTTGTCGCGATGTTCCCCGGATCGGAGCGAAACCCACCTCGGAGATAATTATACGCGCGATCCCGACACGACGATATGCGTTAATCCGCTTCTCGCGCGTTCTCGTCAATTTTCGCGTATTAATCCATCGGTTTACAAATCGCGCCGCTGTAAAGATTTCTTCTCCGCTCGATTTTAGCTAGCAGCTCTTTCCTCTCTCTCTTTCTCTCTGTCTTCTCCTTCGTCCTCCCTTCAGGATTGTAATCTGACCTTCCCGACGCAGTCGTATCCGCACGATCGAAAATCGTATTCGAATGATTCTCAAGCGAGACGCGTCAGAGGTGGAGTCGCGCGAGGTATCGATAAGGGTGGGCGGGGGAGTGCAAGTGGAGGATACGGTCGAAGAAGTAAAAGGCGAGTGGCGAGAGGACGAGGAGAAAGGGAAAGGAAATCGGGGGAGGGATGGGAAGGGACGGATAATATACTTCACGAAGTACGCTCGTCAAACACAAGCGCGAGCAAGCGGAGCCCGGATATATTAGAGGATGCATCTCCATAAAAGTTGGAGCCGAGCAGCGAGTCAACATCCCCCTCGCGTAAGGAAGACGGAGGTGGCCGCGGAGAAACGAGGAGTTCAGCCGGGGAGTAGGACGGATCGCGCTCCTTTTTCCGCTACCGAGGCGCGCGCGCGCGAGAGAGCCTCGGCGAGGGCGAGGAGAAGCGTCTTGCGGCAGCAATCACCGATATTGAGGGTTTCATTTCGTCCCTACGACGACGGTAAGGGCCCGGAGAAGAGGCGGACGGGCGGAGAGTAGTAGCAGCTCGAAGGAAGCGGCGTACGGGGCTGGGGGGAGGCAAGGGGGAGAGCATGACTCTCGGATCGCGCGCGTAGGGGCTCCTTCAGACTGGTCCAGAGGAGTTACGTGCTACCGGATGCTGCACGAAGCCACCTCCGTAAGCTTCACTCCTCTCTTCGACGGCGACCCTCGCCGATTACGTTGCGGGTTTCGACCGAGGGGCGAGAGGGTGAGACTAAGGGCCGTCGCCATCTTTCAGCGACCTAGAAAGAATTTCTTCGGCGAAACAAGATTCCGTCAACTTCGATACCGTCGATCCATCGACGGTTATCCGTTCCCCGATATCTGGCCCGATTGCCCTGAATTCCCCACTTAGCTCCTTGATCGTTGAAATTTGTCTATTCGGAAGGAAGATGTGTGTCTCGGGTATACCGGTGACATTTGCGCTGACTGTTTCACTGACACGTCGGCGAAAAGTGTTAATCCACCCGCTGACTCCATTTTGTCTCTTAAATCATATTACTTGCGGATATACACGGGATTATCTGTATAAATAATTAGTAACCCGACGTTAAATAAAACTGCTCGCCACGGGCGGTTTCCCGGCGGCGGTTTGACGCCTCGATCGGAAAAGAGGAATCCCGTTCTATCTTCCACCTAGCTTTGTCGTTTAACTCTGCCGGGCGATTTTTGCAAAGGGATTTTTCTATCGGAGATCTCCTTTAATATTTAGATACATCAGTAGTCTTAACCTAAGAACCGACTGCGCGGAACAATCCGTTCGAGCAAAGTTAATCTCGAAGTAAGGAGTGTTTGGTCCTGCAAAAGGGATTAGCGTGTTGATTCGCATCGCGCGAGACGGATGGATAGTTTCTCCCTTTCTCTCTCTCTCTCTCTCTCTCTTCGTCTCTCAGCACAGCAAATCATCGGGTTCCTCCGGTCGTGCGAGACCAGCTTCGCACTTTGTGCCCAGCTAGTGCTCCCTTAATCCGTATTCATCAGCAGTTATAGGCATCCACGAGCGCAGGGTAAGAGGCTAATCCGGCTCATCCGCGCTCAACTGAGAGCGAGAGAGAGAGAAAGAGAGAGAGGGAGACGACCGCCCTATGGTTCTTCTGGGTCATCTCCGAGAGACGCGCTGTACGTGCAGTGAGCATTCGAAAATACCGAGCTGAGTCGCGCGCGCTTCGGTCGCGCCAAGGGTTTGTTGTCTCGCGAGACCTCGAAGGTCTCTCTCGTCATCCCACCTTCTCGACGGGCTCGATCTCGTCATTCGCGCGGAAAACAGACGAAACTTCCGGGCGCGATGCGTTGCGTATTAAATCGGGCGCGACCCACCATTCTTGCCGATAAGATCGACGCGCGATATCAATCGTCGAGAATCAATCCAACGAGGATGCGCGCGGAAGTCGAGAGCGAACTTGGCCATCGGTAGGAGATAAACCGGCTGCGTCGGTAGACAACGTCGAATGGCAGATGGTTTAGCGCGGGTGTGCGTTTCCCTCTGGATATTTGTATCCGTGTGACTAGGACCACGAGAGTGAGAGACGGTGGGAGAGGGAGTGAGATAGAGCGAGAGGAGGGCGTCGCGACGCGCGGGCGAGGCGAGACGAAGCGAGGCGAGGCGTCGTGCCGATAAATCAAATTGACTGGTGCGACGTCGAGCGCAGCCAGAGTCCAAGCCCTCTCTCTCTCTCTCTCTCTCTCTTCCCTCGCGTTTCTCTCGCTCTATCTCTCTCCCTCTCTCCCTCCTCCTTCGTGCCTCTACATTTGCCCCGACAGAACGGCGACCGTCCATATACAACGTGTCCAATCGCAAATCCCTTTAATTCGTTCCTTGCAGTATAAGTTTAATCCGAATTAAACTGCACGGGACGGCACATAAATTCGACCCTTGGCCGAGCATTAAAAGGAGCGCCTGTGCGCGCTCTCCGACGGGATCAGCCGCGGCGCTACTCTGCATTAAGTGCTTCACATACGACGCGCCGGATATCGCCGAGCCATGAAATCGCATCATACAGCTATCGTTCGCGATGTCGTGATACTCAATCGGGGGCATGGCGGGGGCGATTTGACTCGAGTTATCGTCGAGATAGAAAGCGAGAGCTTGCTTTTACTAAGAAAGAGACATAATTGGTTAATAAACTGTCTCTTATTATTACCGCGAGCGCGACCGTCATCGCGAGAATTATGTATTTTCTCATGGTTTGAATGTAATAAGGGAGATTATTATAAAATGACAAGAATAATATATCAAATGGATTGCGTATAAAATATGTGTAAAATAACAATACATAATAAAGCGGATAAGTATGAGGTGTTAAATTAACAAATCACTAATCTGATGGTGTTCTGAAGCGTGTCTTGCCGACTGGAAGTCACGTGGCTTCGGAACTAATAGCATCCATACGAAATAATGCTGAAGGGTTATGACAGTGTTTGACGTATTGGTAAACAGATAGGGAGATGTCGCACGTGATTTCCGTTTTTTTTTTTTTTTATTCGCACTTGTATCAGTCTTAAACCTCCTTATTCTTGCAAGGTCTATGTGAAATTTGTCGATATAACTAATCAGGATATTTTTGTTTCAGATCTATCAGAGTTGTGGCCACACGATGGATGCAATTTCGGTGAACACGAATGCTGTACCGGAGTAGCCGGTTCGGGTTGAACGGGGTCGGCTCGAAGGTAGATATACTGACATTCTGTGCTCTCGCATCGAACTCTTTGCGATCGTAAATTGGAACATGTTTGTTAAAATAAAAATCATTGAGTGAAAAATCATTGAGTCAACCGGTTGCAGAAAGTTAACATGTTCGTATCTACGCGCATTTTTCTTATCGAGCTTTCGACGTCTTGTATCTAATCGGCAAAATTAAATTTTTTGCCTCAGATCTGTAGCGGAACGTGGCTGGCCCCAAGTTCCCGGTATTTCGGTGAGTAACAGGAATACTAATCACTATGCGATAAATGAAAGGTGGTGGGTTTGTTGGTAATGGGTGTTTACGAAATTTCAATAAAGTCAATGCGATTTACCTACACCGAGAGAAAAGTATTTCAAATTTGTGTCTATAATTGCATAAAAAAGTGATTAAGAAAAAGTGATTATTTAAGAAAACCATTTTTTTGTACAGTAAGCCCTACTATAGTGTTATTGATAATCACTTTATATGCACATTGCTATTATTACTTTTTTGTTGGAACAACTAAATATATGGTTGAAATTGAAAATAACTATAATTTTCGTGAGATTGACTATTTTTTTCTCTCAATGTAGCTTGTAGATTTTTTTCATATTAAGTTTTGCTTGCATGTGTTTATACTGTCCATAATAAATATACTGCTTGAAATAATTGGACGATCGTTTTTCAAAATCCCAAATTTTGATACTTCTCTTATATTTAGTTCTTAATAAATGATACTTCTCTTATATTTAGTTCTTAATATAAACTTATTCGATGGAACTATTTACTTAATGAGATCTGTCCTAATTGTTTTGAACAATATGAAATGTGCCCCTATATGGGATTCGCAATTAATTATTTCTTTTGCAATCGTCGCGGTCATTAGTTCTTCGAAATTTTCATACGAAACCAGTAAAATTCATTTCGATAGAAATTACCGCTATATCCGATATATGATATTTATTGTTTTTTTTTTCCAAAATTAGATTTCACGCGAAACGTGAAGCACGTTTGACGACAGAGTGTAATCATTCACGAAACAAGACATTTCCTTTCTCATTTTTTATTTAATCGAAAGCGCGCGTGGTTCTTCGGTTCGCAGTTTTTCACACACGATTTGAAACTCACGAATATATTCTCGTAGCGCTTTAATTTTACGAGCACTTTTCGTTCGATTATTAAACGCATAAAGTAAGGAGAGAGCTATAGTGATTGGCGGTTTTATGGTGCATTTCAATTTAATTGTCTTCTTGATGCAAAAATTACACTTGTAGTATTTCTTTGTAAAGATTATTTAAGATTCTATGTTACAAAATTGCACAGTTATATTGGAAAGTGTAAAGGATAATGATATATATTCTGCTAAAAATAAAATATTGAATTGAGATAACGAAAATCGCAGTAAGTGGCAATAATAACTTGTCACGGTGAAATAGCACCCATTAGAAATATGTTAAGTAAAGAAATGTCTCAATTTAGAGCTAGATAATAACTGGAATTAAATATTTATGTTACTCTGCTAAACGATTTATTAGATACATATAAATGTACTATTTACGCGCACCGATATATCGGTGGCTTCTGGTTGCAGCTTAATGAATTAATCAACGCTGCAACTTAACCGACTGCTCTACGATGTGCCACTTTCTCTCTTATCATTAACAGCTGTACATTCGTTATTAATGGTTTGTTTTGTGTTTAAATATGTCGGTATGCTAATCCCGTATCTTTGCCAATTGTATGTCAATACCTCTTTCCCTGTAATTGGCGATCGTGAATGTAGTGAGATGCAATCAATGTGAAACGACGCTTAGACACTTGGAGACTGGAGACGGATGGAAACTGGACAACTGGACGTCGCTGGATATCGACACGCAACGGTGAGCGTTGAATTTAAACGCTCATAAAGAGCCACACTACATAGTGCATGCTTAGATGTAAATCGCATTGATTTCTGATGACAAAAGTCATCACCCGCAGCTTAGCCAATTGATAGTACAAGGCCCCTGAAAAAAGATTTCGGGATTTAGGGATACAAAGCGCGGTGGCGCGCGTTTATATCACCTGATATTAACAAGTTTGTCCCGAAACGTAATCTTGTCGTATTTAACACGAGTTTATGAAAAATAGAAAGTATAGCAATCCTCTTCCTTTTTTTGCTGATCGCGTTTCACGACGATTTGTCCGTCGTTTCTTCCACTCGGAAGCTACTAAACACGGTAACAATAGCGGGTGGGTATCGGCAAATTGCGAAACTCGCAGTTTATCGGTGGAACGTCGGCGAAGTGGCGCGTTCCAAGAAATCCGCTGACGTTCCTGAAAGCGATCAAGTTGCGTTACACAGGAAGTACAAGTTTCTGCATTAGTACACGCCGCGCCAGACTCTAGAAACAGGAAGCAGCGTTGCGAAACGTTGTCAGTATTTGGATTTCGATGTAGTAAGCAGTAGCCGAGAACTCCCGCGCTTCTCTCCGATAACACACCTGTTCATTTGTGTTTCGAAATCCCTCGGCCTGTCGCGACCTGTGATTTGTCCAAAAATTATTCGAACAATTCCCCGACTCTGGTCGTGCAAATCGTCGCGCTGAGTGGACGGAACGAGGTGTGTGTCCTGGCGCGAATCAAACGGCGATTGCACTTTAATCCGTGAAGTCTCCGGCACGTTCTGACGGTGACGGGCGAAGAATGGTCATCAAATAATGCTCGCGCGTATCCGGGTGTCGCGAATGCTCGTAATGAGGGAGACACGCGCGTATCGCAATCCGAGAACGGCAGATCGGACCGAGGGGTCAGGACGCGTCCGTGTCGACTACCATCGTCAATGCGCTTGGGGTGACTCCGCCGCCCTTTGTGCACTTTATGGGTTTGACATTACGTTATGATTATTCACGGGTTACTGTGTTTTATTACCGGCCGCCGGTTTCGGACGCACACGAATGTCGGCCGCCTTAACGCGAACACATCGAATACGACCCGTTAGCGCACCGTTGACACCACGCGTGTCTATAAACGACAAAGACGAGCTCGCCAGGTATCGCCGGTTCGCAAAAGCGGTATCTAAGCGGAGTGTGGAAATTCCCTTTTCCGAAGGTACCCTCGAATTTGCGAATCACCCCGACCCGCGTGCTCAAACTCTCTTAATTCGATCTCCCTCATGGAAACAGTCGCCGCTATTAAAAGATTTTCGCAGCGAAATTTTATTTCATTCGCAGTGCTATACTTTTAACTGTGCTCACCAATGACTATCGATTGCTTTTCGATGATAATACATTGATTTGGAGGGAATACAGTTTACTTATATTACTCACGAACACTTTTACATTACGTCCTCGAGACTTGGAATTTCTTCATGAAAGCTCAAAGTCGACAATATTACGCGGAAAGAGTCGCTGTTGAATCAATAACATAATTGGAGTAAATCTTCTTGACTCGGCAACGATATCTTTGAAACTAATATTTTAACCACTGAAACAACACATAACATAGTAGTTTTAACGATACCTGCCACTGATTCAGAGAGATTTACTCCAATCACGCTACTGTTGGGAATTTCATTGATTCAGCAGCATTTTTCCCGCGTACGCGGTACAATCGCGAGAATAACTTTTTACCGCGCAAGTTCCCGACATTGGTAGTTGACTCTGAGGAGTATTACACAAATAAGTCGGATATTCGACCCTCGATTGTCGTTCGAAAGCTGACGCCTCCAACTACGTAGCACCGCCGGGGAATATTGGTATCATATAGCTGTAGGAGGAGTAGCAGTAGGAGGTACAAGCAATAATACGGGAGGCCGATCATATCAAACCCGCGAGTCCGGCATACCTGAACTCATTCGTCGCATATCTATAGTATATCCGGCTATCGAGATATGAGATATCTCCGGGTGTGCGATTATCCACATAAGTCGGTAAACGTCTTCTATTGCCGCCATACCTCACGGACCGTTCGTGACATACCGCATGGTGGCTCTCCCCCGCACGACTCGGCCGGTCCTCTTGTTTCATGATAAATTCCTGCGCTTCTTCCTCGCGCTGCCCCCCTCCTTCCCTTCTCACTCCGTCGAGTGAGATTTTTCGGCTCCGCCCGAATAAACTGTTCGCTGTTGTGAGTGTTCCGTGAAGTGAAATTTACCACCGTCTAATTGGCTTCTTATCTTGAACGAGAGAGAGAGAGAGAGAGAGAGGAGAGAGGGGAAGAACTCGCTCTGCAATTCGATTCACGGCGATACGTCTGTGTCATCGGCTGCGTTACCGCGCGAAAACTAATTGCTGATATCTGTAATCAATCCCCGGTGAATGCTTCATAAGCGTCGAATATGTTATGGGACAGATAAGTACGGTGTTCGGACAGCGTTATTCTCGCACCATCAATAATTCCGTCTATCGAATCGCGAAGTATCGTGTGACAAATCGACCGTCTATAATTATCCCGCCCAAGGCAGCTCGGTGCTCGCTCGCGGACACGTCGTTGAATATTTGACGGGCGCGCGAGGATCGTAAAGAGATCATCATCGATGTAGTCGCGAGTGTGTTACATTTATTATTTGCCGACAAGTACAAAATATCCCGATTCGCGACGCCGTCGACGCGGAGCGCGCGCACTCCCGCTCGCCTCTCTCGTTCTCGTCCTCGTTTGGCAATCAACCAAAAGTTCCCTAACGACGTGGCGCGGCGGAACTTCGCCGCGGGTCCTCGAGGCTACAACTGTGAAAGTCTTCGATCTCTGTTACCGACAGCGCGAGATAAATTTCGCCGTTGTCGTAAGAACATACGTCTCGCAGCGTGGGCTCATCTGGAAACAACGATGTAGATGTAGCCTTTCGTTTCTCCGCTCGGCGACGTCCATCAATATCGCGGTAATCCATAGTTCTTGTCAGACTCGGGGCCACATCCCGGAGAAGAAACGAGAGAGAGAGAGAGAGAGAGAGATGCCTGATGTCGATTAAAAGCTTTTTACACATCTCTCCGTGAGACGCCTGTACATATAAAATATACTGTATCGTTCGCCCTGCTGTATACTTGCTTTCGAATCAAGCATTGTCTGATTTTCATCCTTCGCAAAAACGCGCGCGTGCGCGTCCCCGTATACTTTCAGGATTTTCGGATTTATTCGTGTACAATAAAATAGCTAATTCGCGGAGAGAGAGAGAGAGAGAGAGAGAGAGAGAAGGCGAGGATAAGGCACGCCCGTTATTAATTTTCCACGTCGATTTTCTTCAACGCGTCTCCTTCGATAGACTATC